CCCCAAAACCCCAAAACCCCAAAACCCCAAGTTTCATCATTTCCACATGTTGAGATAATAATAAAAAAGCATATTGATAATTAAGTTGTTGTTGTATTACTAAGTATAAATATTTTTTAATCTAAATTAATAAAGCAGTCTTTAACCTATATTTTTAACAAAAGTGAAGAAACTATAGAAAAGGAGTAAGAATTGATAGATCTACTCAACCTATTTTTTCAATGTTCCATTTGTTAATTGTTCATCATATCTTGAGAAATTATTTACTACGTCTACTAGTTATTTTGGTGAGGATACTACTCCTAGACTTTGCCTCTAAACATTTAGGCTTTATGCTAGAGAGTGTATTGAGGTTGCCTCATTGGTAACATTTAAGGTGATAGATTATTGCCTTGCATATCTATATAGTCACCTTATATTGACACTGTTTCATCCGAATGAATGAATCTATTTTAGATTTGACCTAACTAATTCTGAAAATTATCAGGATATAGGGCAGATCTAGGACTACCCATATTATTATGGTGCCCTTCGTAAAACATAAAATCATCTGCTTCTCCAAATTAGGATGTGGTATATTCTTAAAATCCTCCTGAAGAAGCATCTCCGTTTTAAAATCTTGAGGGTCTATGTTATATGTTTTGATTTGGATGTCCTTAAATAATTGTTTACTAATGCATTTATGGGCCTCCTGTTCCATCTCTATATGATCCTCCATTATTTTAAGTTGTCAATGGTGAACCACCCCCTGAATAAGAGCTATTCCCACCTTTCTTAACCAAGAATTGATTAAGTCTATTATTAGCAAGATTCGGATTCATTCCTACTTTTTTCATTGTATTTGCTAATGGTGTATTAAGGAGACTTGCCTAGCCATAGTTAGTTTAACTAGTTTAGTCCCCATTATCGGAACCAGGTCTATTTGTAACTCCAAATCCACGCAAACTCATTACCTAATCATTGGATTCTTGTGATGAGAGTTATGAAGATATTACAGATCCTGGTTTTTTGAAGCCGAGTTCACCTGCAACTATATTCTTTAAATTGTTTCTTTTATCAGACACTTTTCTCTAGGACAATGTTTCAGACTATTCACTAGCATTATTTGAAGACATTTTAGATGTTCCTCTGAGTCCCATGCCCATAGCTTATAAATTTGCATACTGCTGCTGATTATTTTGACTATAGCAGAATTTTAAAATGAAACTCAGAAATTTAGAAATTTAATTGAAATTGACTTTCAGGTAATGAAGAAAAGAATTCAAAACTTACTTGAATCTAGCTGAAGGTTGCATTCTTACAGATTGTGGTGGCTAAAGATTAGTTTGCTAGCCATTGAAAAATCTGGTTGGTGATTATCTCGGAGAATTTTATGACGTTCTATTCTATAAATCATTATGATAGAATGTCTAAGGAGTCATAAGCACATGCTGCTGTTGATATTGGAGTTAATGTTGGTGCCAATACGGATCTTAAGATATCAAGTTCTATTGGTGCTATGGTGGGTAACCTTAATACATCTAAGGATGAGGACCAGGGTAAAATTGAGGTTGCCCGTATTATTAAGTTTATTAAGGATACTAAACTTAGTCTTAATAATAGGGACCTGGTGGCTGTTGATAGATCTGTTACTATGGTGGAAAATACTAAGATTAAGGAGAGCCATTTTGTGAGTAAACAGGCTATTTATCTTAATTAAAAAGTTCAAGAATATTCTTACATGCTGCTAAAAATTGTTTTATCTGTGATAGCTAGCACTTGTCTCGTTCAAGTTATCTTGTCTTTGCTATAAAATCTAATCAGGTAATGGACCTCTATTCTAACTATTTAATTTTATGAATAAAATGACATGTTTTATACTTTATATTTTGAGAACCGTGATTTTAAGGATTTATCCCGTGGTCAAAACTTTAGCCCATACTGTTTGAGATTCCATTTTACAAAAATTTAACCTAAAATTAAATTAAAGTAACGAAATAACTTACAGTGAAAGTTTGGTCGTTAGGTATGCTATCCGAAATTACTACTAGATCTCCATCACTGTCATATAGACCAATCATTTTCAGGTCGTGAGCAATATTTGAATTATTATCTTTGCTTGATATTCCGAAAGCCTACAAAAACTATTATATGCTAAACTTGTTACTTCTTTTATAAGTCCTAATATACTAATGATTGGAGTGCCCTCATACCATGCTATAGGAATCAATTAGTCGCTCCCTTCAAGTTTAACATAGATTCTCTTCTTTGACATATTAATGATAAAGTGCTAATAAATCTTCTAGGAGTGATAAATATTATTTATTTCTGATTTTCTAAATAATCTAATAAACTTATAGAGTCACGATTTCCACCCAACGGGGTTTTGGGGTTTTGGGG